AAGTGCCTTGCAAGCAACAGCTACCCTACAACAGACATGTGCATTATAGTGAATTTTATTCATATTCTTAAATTTACCAATAACTACAATCACTCCAAAACCATTGTTCTCATTATGCCAATTTATTCTTAGTCCTTGGGAAAGAGAAAATTTTCAATTTTATTTCTACCAAAACATCTCAAAAATCATCCCAATAAACCCTTACCATGTTCACAGCTATTCACACTTTGTCCAGGATTAGGAGGAAGGGCCTAACACAAACAGGTCTGGAAAGCAAACAGGATTATAATATTTATTCTGTCCATAAAGCAAGCCTTCAGAAGTAAAAAACAGGCTGGGAATACTTTAATCAATAACCAATTAACTGTCCTACGTCATCACCACCCCATGCCAAGAGATAAATTGCCCTACCATATAGGGACAATAACGTTAAAGTGAATTTTGACTCGAGACAGAGAATGAAATCAAAGTTAAGCACATTCATTACTTCAGGATGGCTTTCAAGACTCATAGTGGTGAAGGCAGAGCAGAAGTACTGGCAATGTACTTACAGCTGTAAGGATATTCAGTTACTGTATAATATTTAATGAACATACATTATATCAACAACATTACAACATGAATCCCTTTAATGACAAAAGCTAAACCCAAAAAAGTTTCTTGAATATTCTGGTATTTTATGAGCATGAATCATTATAGCTTATGAGTTCATCTTCAGTTACTTTAAAAAAAAAAAAATTAAGTTTTCCTGCACCTTTTATCTATAGCACAAACCAGAGTGCTCTCTCATATCTAGAAACCACAGCACTTATGGATATTTACGGAACAGGAAAGGAAAAAAATGGAATGTTATCTGTGTTAGACTGACTTTGCAGCAGGCCATAACAGCTAGTCAACCCATTGCTCAAAATACTGTCTGTGCCTGGAAATTCCTCTGATTAAAAATGGTTTCATTACTGCTATCCCTGATAGAACAGAACCAGTGTTTATAACACTTATCTTTTCTGAGTATGCTGACCAACTTCTACAGACAACCTCTAATGCAAAAGCAAGTTACAGCTACTGCATATGCACTTGGACCTATTAGATATACACAAACAAAGAAACGGAACGTTTACTAACCAGTATTTCCTCATTCTGAAGGAAGGATACTAACATTTCTAGACTTTTTACCACAGATAAAGAGTTTAAAGAGGAAAATACATATTTATAACCTGTAAGTCATTTTTCCTCATAACTAAACCGATAGTTTATATTCTATTAACAGTGTGAAACATTATGTCAGTAAAGGCAAAAAATGTGAAAGAGTTCTGGGCTGCTTCTTCAGACAAGCTACACTGCTACATGAAAAACCTTCTCATCAACTCAAACAAAAAGATGACACATGCAAGACAGGCTAAAAACAGTCTTTAATACTGGAGACCACATTAATAGAAAAGTAAGTCCAGAATTAACCACAGCAGGAAGCAGTGGGAGTTTTGAACTATAGGCTGAATTAACTCATACATCATCATGATTAGTTCTGCATGTAGAGAAAAAGCTTTGACAGGAAGTTCATTCATTCAGCAATGATATTTTGCTTGCCCATGCACCACTTACTTTCCATGCTCGCAGCTAAATCAGACTGACGACTGCATAGCAATAAAGAATTTTTAAGTCACTAAACAAACATTAACAAAAGCTCAAATCTCTTTCAAGACAACAATTCCTCGTCTACTTTGCATATGGAGAACATAAATGCACAGAGATTAATGGTTATCTCTTTCAGAAATATTGAACACCTCAGGTTTTGACTTAAAGTACAAATGCTTATGACATCTAAATAAATAAGACTGTATTATCCCAAACCAATTACATATATAAACCAAGTGTTTTTAAGTTCACTTACAAATACGCCTGTATTCAGAAATATGCTCGAGTCTTTTGCTGAATCCACATAATCTTGCTCAAGGCAGCAGAGGAAGTCAGGAGAAGAGACTACAGTTAAGAGTTTACTTCCGTGACTGGACTGTCAATGAAACTGCAACTACAGAAAACGCGGGGAAACAATTTTAATTCCAATTTTTATTTATATAGCACCTCTCCTCTCTGGTGTTTACAAGTTGAGAGAGCACAACCGAACAGAACAGTGTAATGCTTTGGAAAAACAGGACAAGAATATTGCCTCCTCACAACATTTATACTGGTGTGTCAGGCAGGTAGAGGGTTTGTTTCATTTTTTTTTTTTAAACCAGGTACTGTACATGGTTGCAAACGTAGCTGGACTGAGTTATAAGTGTCATATCATCTAGGAATTAAGTATGTCACTACAAGCACTTTCAGAAGAACATAGCTATATCCATTCGGTAGGAAAAAAAGAATTAGCCTTAACCAGTTTGAATTTTTTCAGTTACAAGTGTCTCAGCTCTAAATTTGTGGCTATGACAGGTGAGCACATCCTCAAAAGGCAACAATATCTCTTCAAAGCCCTTTGGCTTCAAAATCCTTCTTTTACCTTAGTGGTTTAAAACATGTAAGAAAATTTCAAACGCCAGCTCTTGTTCTCAGGGTTTGTGTGATTCTCAACTTCAAAACAAGACACAAAGGGAGTGACTTGAGCTTTCTTGGCTTTTGTTGCCTTTGCTACGCCTGGGATCCATACACTACAAATACACATTTGTTTAAAGAAAATCACTTGATTTATTTTTGTTGTTGTTTGGGGGTTTTGTTTTTAACAATGCAAAGATCACCGCCGCCGCATTTTAGCAAAATCCGTTTTTACCGAAATACGGCCCCCTTCCGCCCAGAGGAGCGTGGACGCCTCTCCCGCTCCCTGCCAGGCTCCGCTCCCGCAGCGGGGCACAAGGGGCCGGGAGGAGGC